GATTCCACTGTCCATGTCACCCACAAAGGTGACACTGCTTTCAACTCCGAGCCTTGAGGTATCCCACTCATCACCAGTCTCCATTTGGACACTGAGCCATTGACAACAATTCTCTGGGTGCAGTCCTCCAGCCAATTCCTTAGTTTTATAGCATGCACTAGAAGTCAAAACCATGCTAGAGTAAAGGAAAATTATAGAAGTGTGTTTGTGTATTCATACTGACTTTGGTTTTAGTTAACTCAGTATTTGCCAGGACTCTAAAAACCCAGAGGTAAAGGAAGTAAGAGAAATGCAAATAAACAGACAAGAATGCACAGAGAAGTCACAAGCCTGTCTTGGATGAAAGAGAATCCTTAGCAAGTATGCTGATGATATGAAGGTAGGAGGAGTGGCTAACACATCAGAAGGCTATGCTGCCATTCAGCATGACCTGGACAGGCTAGAAAGTTGGGTGGAGACAAACTTTATGAGGTTCAACAGGGGGATGTGTGGAGTCCTTTACCTGGGGAGGAATAAAAGTGTGTATCTGTACAAGTTTCAGGACAACAAAGGACAACCTGCTGGAAAGGAACTCTGTAGAGAAGGACCTGGGAATCTCAGTAGACAACAGCTTGACCATGAGCCAGCAGTGTTTCCTTGTGGCCAAGAAGGCCAATGGTATCCCTAAGGTGAATTTAAAAGAGTGTGACCAGCAAGTTGAGGTGGCATTTTCTCTCCCTCTATTTTGCCCCTATGAGGCCAATGTGGAATACTGTGTCCAGGTCTGAGCTTCAAAATAGACAAGAAACTTACAGAAAGAGTCTAGTGAAGGGCCACAAAGATGACTAGGGGCCTGGAATAACTCCACCCTTACGTGGATAGGATGTGAAACCTGGGACTGTTCAGAATGGAGAAGAGCAGACTGATGTTATTAATCTAATTATTAATATCTAGAAAGTGAGTGTCAAGCGGGGAGAGCCAGGCTCTTTCCAGTGGTGCCCAGTGACAGATCCAGGGGCAGTAGGCACAAACTGCAACACAGGAAATTCCATGCAAACATGAGGAAAAACTTATTTTGAGGGCGATGGAACACTGGACACAGCTGTCCAAAGAGATTGTGGTGTCTCCTTCTCTAAAGATACTCAAAACCCACCTGGGTTCTTTCCTATGTACGGAATCTGCTTTAGGAAGGGATTGGACTAGATGATCACCAGAGGTCCCTTGCAATTCCTACAGTTCTGTGATAAGAGTTGACGAAATGCAATCAATGAAGAAAGACTGAACAAATTAGGCTTGTTTATGTAAGAGAGAGAAAATAGCAAGCTGTGAGTGTTTCAAATCTATGTTTTTACAACAGTACTATTATATAAGAATATTTTTCCAATGTCAGTGTTTCTTTTCTTTCATGAGAGCAATAGCTCTATAAACCAACATATTCAATATATGAAGTCCAATATAAAGAGTTTATGCACTTGGTTTTCTATGTCCAACAAAGAACAAGGTAACTTACTGGGTTAAAAAAAAAAAAAAAAAAAAAAAAAAAGAATATTTAGAAGAATTTTAGTACTCATCGGGTATTGATAGAATTCCTAGAGTAGATTACTTAAAAAACACCTCCATAATCTCCTTTACTTCAAGTTTTTATGAAGTTGGATTAACACTTATCAGGGTTGGTTAAGGTTTTTTTTACTTGGCTTCAGTTTATGTGGTTTCAGTAGGGATCGGCTGCAATTTCCGCAAGCTCTGATTGAAAGAAGATGAAGGAAGAAACCTAGCCAAAGGAGTTCCATTACTTTTGATAATTCTTCATTTATATTCTTATGCTTATTCTGATACTTTCTCAAATTTTTTCTCTCCTCACTGGTAATCATGTTGTTGGTATTAAATAAGAATCTATACTTGTCTTTATAATACAAAAGACCAGTAATCAAAAAGAAATAGCTGTAGAACTTCATTTCCACAGAAAAGGAAGGAGTTCTGAAACTGCATAAGCAGGACTTTGGATGAAGGAAAAGAATGAAAACTGATTTTTTACCAATTTTACTCTCTACTTTCATCTGCTCATTTGCTCTTACAATAATAGCATCCATAAATCTCTCAACAGAGTTCCCCCTGTATTTGATAATCTTTCTCAGTGGAACTTTCTCACTCTTTTTTGTCCAGGACTTTAATGTTTTTTGCATGATTCTACCTATAATAGAAGTGGTGGGGGCAGGTGGTGGGTCGGGTTGGGTCTCATAGGAACATAACCTGTCTGACCAAAATACATCCCTTCTTCATAAGGTAGATGATCAAAACTTGAAGATACAGGATTGTGTGTCTTAAATATGTTCAGAGCCTTATAACACTCCTACAAGTATTTGCTTGCCACCATTCTTGTTTTGCATTGCACTCAGAAATGCAATTAAAATGGATGATAAATTGATGCAATTACTACTATCTATTATTACTTTTTTTTAAGTGATAAACAGAAAGATCTCAGATATGACATCTCAACTTAGTTTTTCAACAAGACTGGAACACACCATAAAATTTAAAACTTGACTCTATGGACATTAACTTCATAGCTCTCTTTACAAAATTAGTATGCAACTTACAAACTTAGTTACATGTGCTTAAATTTTTGGAGATGTTTTCTTTCTTCTGCTGCTTTTTCTCTAATATTCAAACAAATAACAATATTCACTAATTACTTTTCACCAGAGTAGGCAGAGCATATTCATCTAATAAATGTGTTCCTTTGTAAGTGACAATGGGCTTGCTAATTTTAGATAACACCATTTAAGTTTATAGTTGCTAAATACTTGTGGAACATTGTTCCCAACTGTATAAAATCTCATTATTTATTTGAGAAAGTATTTAAGCACATCTCAAAATGCCTATGCAGCAACAAATTAATATGTTGAGAGGTAACTTTATTGAGTGTTTATTGGTTTGGTTGTTACTTTTATGCAGCATTTGTGCTTGGCAATAAGTCACCTGCTTCCATGAGCTGAACCCTTATTTTTTCAGATACTAATTTCCAACTTGCAAACTTTCTCTGAAATATGTAGCATCTCTAAGGATGTAAGGCTGCTAGTGAAAATTAAACCAGAACCAACAAGTGGAAAAAAGTTTGTAAAAGCAAGGCAGTAAAGGAAGAAAAATAAATACCAATGTGGAATGCTAATATACCTATGGATATTTTTACTGACAGAATAGTGTGAGGTCTACCCTTGCAACTTCCTAACTGCAAAGAATATAAAGAAAACTCACCATAAGTATAGCATTTGCATAGACAAACAAAAGGAGTTCCTGAGAAGCTAAATGCAGTCTCCACCTAAGCCACAAAACGTTAATACAAATTATGAGTATGCACAAGCCCAAATTAAACAAATAGTTATGTGTGTGCTTATGTTTTATTCCCTTGGGTGGTCCAGTTTCCTTCTGTGAAAGTACTCATGCTAACAGTTAAGCATGTGTACTCATAGGAAGAGAGTTTGAGGTCTCATAAATAAATCCTGTTATGTAATATCTGATAAAGTTGTTTTTACATCAGTATCAAGATTAGGAACACTGAATGCATGTCACTGGGCCAGATATGAGTTCAGTGTCCTGTTCTAATCAGTGGCCAGTGCCAGATACTTTAGAGAAATTCCTATGATTTACATGAATAACAACATAATGGGAGATATGATTTTTGCTAACTCTAATCTTGTATCTCATTAAATCCTTCAGTCCAATTATTTTCCTTGTTAGGAATATTTTCTTAAGAAACTAAAGGAAACCAGAGAGTTGCTCTTAACCAGGAGGAAAGCAGCAAATTTAAAACTGTTAAGAGGATATCTCTTGCTTTTCAGTTATGGCTAAAGTATAGACATTCACCACTTACTTTATCTGCTCCAGTTGCCCTGATACACTTAGAAAGAAACATAACTTCTCTTTTATCAAATATTTTCACTTTTTTTTTTCATACAAAAACATCCTTTTAGTCTCCATTCTTCTCAGTTTTCCCTCATTCTTAATAAATTTGCAATGTTCCTTCTGAAAACAGCGTTCAGCACTATTTCAAAATTAGCAGAATTCGCACAACAGTATCAACAGTTGTTTGTATCATTTCTGCTTTGTTAAACTTGTCCAGGCCGCAAATTGAATTGGGAACATCAAAACATCAAGCTTTTTATGAATTATGGTTCTCAGAGCTATCTCATTTTGACTGCAGCCACCAGAAGATTCAGCATGGAGCTCAAGTTTTTGAGCATGTTTGAACATAAGTGAAGATAGGATGTATAAAGAAAGATAGTGCCAGTTCAACCAAAACCTTTAAGCTCTTTCTAAGAGTAAAGTCAAACTAACAGTTCAGGTTTTAGCATTACTTTGAACTGGTTTTCATTGCGGTCTGTAAACGTGATCTCTCTAGTCACCTCTTTTGTGCCTCAGATTTTAGATACCATTGCTGTTCGATGTGATTCTAAAGTATCACAGCGTTCTCTTATCACAGCAAGGAAATCAGCTATTTAGCTGTACTGTTCTCATCTCCATTATCCGTACCCATGACCTTCCACACGTACATGCCTGTAAAACTACTTAGTTGTCCCCCCCTCTCCCTGCCTCACAGCACGGAGCAGCACCAGGACAGCCCTCCTCCCGCCTCAGGCTTTCTGACAGACCGGAGCACTCGCAGCACGGGCGGGAGCCGCCCCCTGCTCTCCGGACGGGAGTGGCTGAACGCTGCCGCCGTTGCGCATGCGCCAGCTCCGAATGGTTGAGTTGGCGGCGCGCGGGAGACGTTGCGCATGCGTGCCATGCAATAGGACGGCCGTCCGCGCGCGTTCTACCGGCTCCCGACGGGCTTTGGAGCGTACTCTTGGGGAGGGCGGTGGCAGGCGCTGCGCATGCGCATGCTGTGAGGCGAGGTGGTGGCTCAGGGGCCTGGACGAGCCGCGTCGCCGCTGCTGCGAGGGGCCCGAATTTCGCCGCGGGGCCGCGTGCCGTCAGTTGTCAGGAGATAGGCCCCTGGCTGATCGGTCAGTAGCGAGTACGTCCCGCTCGGCCCCGCCGCTAAGCCTCCCGGGGCGGGCAGACCGGCTGGGCCGCTGTCGCCGCGGCTGAAGAGAGAAGGCGCCGGCAGGATGAAGCTGGTGAGGAAAGACCTGGAGAAGGATAATGCGGGGCAGGTGACTCTGATCCCCGAGGAGCCGGAGGACATGTGGCACACCTACAATCTGCTGCAGGTGGGTGACAGCTTGCGGGCCTCCACTATCCGCAAAGTGCAGACCGAGTCGTCCACGGGCAGCGTGGGCAGCAACCGCATCCGCACCACCCTCACCCTCTGTGTGGAGACCATCGACTTCGACTCGCAGGCCTGCCAGCTGCGGGTCAAAGGCACCAACATCCAGGAGAATGAGTACGTCAAGATGGGGGCCTACCACACCATCGAGCTGGAGCCCAACCGGCAGTTCACGCTGGCAAAGAAGCAGTGGGACAGCGTGGTGCTGGAGCGCATCGAGCAAGCGTGCGACCCAGCGTGGAGTGCTGATGTGGCAGCCGTGGTCATGCAGGAAGGCTTGGCTCACGTCTGCCTGGTTACCCCCAGCATGACCCTCACTCGTGCCAAGGTGGAAGTGAACATCCCCCGCAAACGGAAAGGAAACTGCAGCCAACATGACCGGGCCCTAGAGAGGTTTTATGAACAGGTGGTGCAGGCCATCCAGCGGCACATCAACTTTGAGGTGGTGAAGTGTGTCCTGGTGGCCAGCCCAGGCTTCGTTCGAGAGCAGTTCTGTGATTACATGTTCCAGCAGGCAGTCAAGACTGACAACAAACTTTTACTGGAGAACAGATCCAAGTTTTTACAGGTAAGGAGATGCATTGTCTTTAAAAAGTTTAAGAAGTGGGTTAAGAGCTGTTGTCTGCGCTAACAGAAAAGAAATGCAAGGAAGATGGGGAAATAATACCCTTACTGGAGAAAATAGTTTTCTACTACAGCATTGTAAGAGATGCTGTAATAGAAAGGCATATTGTCATGCCTCTCAAGTTACAAAGTAGTTATGCAACATTCAGAGATTTTTTTTTTCCTCGGGTAACTTCACACGGAATCACACACAGAATCACAGAAACAGTGGTGTCCAGTTTTGGGCCCCTTACTGCTAGAAAGACATTGAGGCCCTGGAGCAGTTCAAAGAAGGGCAGCAAAGCTGGTGAAGGGTATGGAGCACAGGCCTTATGTGGAGTAGCTGAAGGAGCTGGAATTGTTCAGTCTGGAGAAGAGGAGGCTCAGGGGAGACCTTATTGCTCTCTATAACCACCTGAAGGGAGGTTGTAGTGAGCTGGGGGTTGGCTCTTCTCTCATGTAACTGGTGATAGGACTGGAGGGAATGGCTTCAAGCTGGACCAGGGGAGATTTAGGACACTAGAAAATACTGCTGAAGAGTGGTCAGGCACTGGAATGGGCTGCCCAGAGAGGTGGTGGAGTCACCAACCTTGGAGGTGTTCAAGGATCATTTGGGTTTTGTGTTGAGGGGTATGGTTTAGTGAGAACTATTGTTGATTGGTGGTTGATGGTTGGGCTGGATGATCTTGTAGGTCATTTCCGACCTTGGTGATTGATTCTGTGATCCTGTAATCAGTATTAATGTTTTTTTCCTAGGGTAACTTAGCAGGAAATGTAGGAAATATTGGCTTTAAATACATATTTAATGCACAATTAAAAGTGAAATACAAATTGAAAAGCAGTTTAACTGTAGTGTTAATCAGCCATGCTGTACATGTAAACATGTAAATTTCATTGCATCTTTCTTAAGGTTTTTAAAGAGGAAGGGAAGTGGTGTGGGTTAGTTAATGTTGCTGTTAGATATAGATTGTGTGGACCATAATATTTCTTCATATTCTTGATTCTAGTGGTTGGAGTCTTTTGTTGTTGTTGTTTGTTTGTTTGTTTTTACCTTTCACTGAAATAGGCGAAGTCAGATTGAAGAAGTAAATTTTCCCTTTCATAAGGATTCTTGCAGGCCTAATCTGTACTTTCAGAATGGGGAGGGTCCTATTCTTAATGGTCATAAGGTTTGGTAGTCTTAAATTACACTAAGAAGTCTACTCTTGCACATACAGGAAAGTGATGATAATGTGTAAAAGCAAACATAGAAATATGCAGTTACACTGGACTTAATGCTTTTGTGCTGGATGTCTTGAGTCTTAAGAGGTCATCTTCTTCTTGTATGTTTTAAAATAAAGAGGATTAAGTTTTCTCAGTATTTTGAGATGCTCCTGCCTTAGGTAGGAGCTTGCTTATTCAGGAAAGTTTCTGAAGAAGAGAATCAATTTCTTTTTGTACACTTAAAATACAGTTTGTGGATTTAGGTTAAGCTTTGCATTGTAGGAGAAGAATTAAGAAAAGAGTTGTAGAGTTCAAGGAAGAGACAAGTTGGTTATTATCAAGATAAGTATGTATTGTGGAAGCTACTTGTGGTTGGCTGATCAAGAGAATTGAATGTTGTAATAAAGAAAGAATCTCTGATTTTGTTTACTCCAGGTGCATTCATCATCAGGACATAAGTACGCACTGAAGGAGGCACTTTGTGACCCAGCTGTAACTAGCCGTCTCTCTGACACTAAGGCTGCTGGTGAGGTCAAAGCCTTAGATGACTTCTATAAAATGTTGCAGCATGAGCCTGACCGGGCTTTTTATGGCCTAAAACACGTGGAAAAGGCCAATGAAGCCATGGCCATTGATACTTTGTTGATCAGTGATGAGCTCTTCCGGCACCAGGATGTGGCTACACGTGCCCGATATGTTAAATTGGTAGATAGTGTACGGGAGAACATGGGCACAGTGCGCATTTTCTCCAGCCTTCATGTGTCTGGGGAGCAGCTTGGCCAGCTAACAGGGGTAGCAGCTATCCTGCGCTTCCCTGTTGCTGAGCTCTCTGACCAGGAGGATGAGTCTAGCTCTGAAGAGGATTGACAACAGTGGCTTCATTTCACAGTATCCCTTCCAACTGACATCAAAATGACATTAAAAGTCTTCCCTTCCAAAATACTGTGTGCAGATTTACCCTGATATGTCACTTATGTTTTTGATAGTATTTCTTATACTATGTGTTTCTTCTCCCCACACAAATTGATGTCTATTCTATGGTGAAGATGATTGAAATGCTGAGATTTAGAGCTGACTGGCTTTGCAAGTTACACCCTGGATCTCCAGCAGTACCAGAAACAGATCTCAGTCCCCAAAGCTGCTTATTCTTCATGTTAAGGCAGACTGTCAGCTTAATGTTCTGGAATGTGTACAAAAAGATAATAAACTATGAAGCAGAAAACTGTGTCAGACTCTTTATTTTAGCTCAAATGTGTGGAAACAGTATTACAAATTGAAAATCCGTCGTGTAAGACAGCCAAACTATACTTGGTCTTCTTAGGAACTCATTACCCATAAACTATTCTTGGTCTTCTTAGGAACTCATTAACCATATCCTAAAAAGAAAGGTTGAGAAATGGGATCATCTATTAGAGGCTTTCTGTGAAATGTTTGAAGCGATCTTTCTGAAACTTGACTAATTAGGGTAACAGTTTTCTCTTTAATGTGGCAGTAGATGCCTGACAGATTGTGAAGCTCAATGTGTCTGTTTCAGTAGTCTTTCCAAATGCTCTTCGGGAAATTGTTTGAGGGGATTTGGGAGGAGGTAGACAGGATAGTTGTCAAGGGATGTGTGTTACCACTGTGTTCTGATGAATTAGCACTGAAACTAATTAGTACCCAGTTCTAAGCAGCCACATGAATATATGAGTAAGGCTTAAAGAACCAGGTCTCTAGTCTTTATTAGAATTTTTTTTACAACAAGCAATAGAGGTAATTTCATAATCTGTTACCTGTTTAAAAACATATGCATTATAATGTGGAGATAAAAATTACAGACTTATAAGTAGAATTTTAGCTTAAGACAGTGACAACAGTAAAAATAAAGTTACTTCTCCAATTACTTGATTTGTTCAGTGAAAGCCACAATGAGTCTGATTTCTTCAGTTGAGCAATGAGATCTTAGGGTGAAGAACCACAAACTGCTTTCAGATTCTGATGTGCATACGCATGTGAAATTGACCGTAGCATATTGTTTGTTCAGTTTAAACCAGTGTGTGGTGATGAAGGTGGTGAGAGTAAATAAGCATTCCTTGTTTAAATGTCGCAGTGGAGGAGGGAACTGGAGACTGACTAAAAATAAATTTCATTTGGAAAAACCACAGAACAAATAACAAAAACCTGAAAGTTTTATGCTAGATCAAATAGAAAAAGAAAGTAACGGTGCTCTCGGTGCTGACTTGAGCCAGCTCTGTGAGTTTGATATTAAGTATTGCTAAGTCACATAAACCGAAACAGCAGCCTTAATTTGTTGGTAGGAAGTTGTACTGAATTGGAAGCCCTCAGATGTGAAAAGACAAGCTATCGAATGGTTTGGTATTTTTACAGACCAGACCAAATTTAAGACAGTTATTCCATTTTTTAAAAGGAAATTGTGGAGAATTTCTACTGTAAACTTTTGTAAGAAAGTTACAATGGCAGTTTTTTTAAGTCTGTGTCTCCTATGTTACGGTAGCATGCACAAAGGAGAAGCAAGCAGGCAAGCATTTGGAAAAAAAAAAAAAAAAAATCATAGTGATTCTTTTTTATTATTATTATTTTTGCAATTAAAATAACAATTCTACACAGAATTTGAAAGTTATAAATATTTTTTCTTTCTCTAGCTACTGCTATCATGTCATTAACTCTCTAAAAGAAGTACAAATCCAGTTGTCCGAAGTATGGAAGGGTGGCATTTTTTGTTTTGTAAGCATTTTTGTAGTAAAATAAATATGCATGCACTTTGTAGACAACTGCATCCTGTTTCAGGAAACAGCTTAATGGCATAGTTTTGAAAGTAGGCTATATTCAGTCATGCAGATGCTTAACCTGGCACAGTTCCAGGGACGTTAATATATTTTAAAATTGTAATTATTTTAAATAGCTGGAAAGCCTATATTGACAAAGATTTTTGTTTGGCAAACACCTTAAGGTCTGTGTCTAGATAACACACAGAACTTGCATGTTATCTGCAAATCAGAGGAAAAATTTTTTCCCATTCTGTTAGCACTTACTCAAGTCTTCTGAACTAGATATGCATGAAATAAAACCAGTCCGCAATGTGGAAGTTGGCTTTTTTACCATTATTTATTAATTTCAGTAGTATGTAAGTGGGTTTTGTATTGTGTTGTGAGATAAATCTTTGAGCAAGTAGCTTGTTTTATCTTCCAGTTTTTCAATTTTCAAAATAAATGATTACACATTGCAGAACTGTTAATACTCACTGTCTTTGTTGGGAAGAAAGCTTTAAAATATATCATGAAATTGTCTTGATAATAAATCTGTTTATTTACTTCATAGACTTAACTCTTGCAAACTAACTGAGATCAGACCCCAATTTATTAATTCTGTCACCTTTGGCATTTTCATCCATTTGTTATTATATCATAGGATAAAGTCTGTTTCATAATATGTTGCCATCATAGAAAGACCAAAATAATCCTGCTAGTTATTAAGTTAAATAAAAGATAAGTATTTATTGAAATTACACCCCATTGAATAGTATTTGGCCTGGGGAAGTTTTCTTTCTTATGTGTTCACTGCTGCACACTCTTTGAGCTAAGAACTGGTTACAAATGAGCTTATGACCATTCTCTCATTGCTCTCATTATAACAGAGCCAAGTAGCTCTTCAGCTGAATTTGTGATGTAACTTCATTGATGCTTTTAAGGACATGCAATAATCTGGGGTAATTTTCATCATTTTGTATCATTTTTGCAAATGTTAAGTAGCCCTGATCATAATAACTTTAAGCATTTAATTCATATTCTCAGCTGCTGTCACTTGTTTGCATTTGTTTATGAAAGTGTATCATAGCTTCCTTCTCTGACTTACATATAAATTGAGCTTCTTTAATTGCTGTCCAGATGCTGCATCACCCATCCAAAAAACATGCTACGTTTTATAAAGATGAGGTGGGAATATAAATGGGATTGTGTGTATGTGTTTATTTGTTGGTTTTTTTTAGGGTTGTTTTATTTTGTTTTGGCAGATTACATTTCTTATTTCACCGGAGAAAAATTTTCCAAAGATGTTCGTTCTGTTGTTTTATATGAAGCTATGTTTGTCCAGTGTGTGGTCTATTTCTTCTACAGATGATCAAAGAAAGCAGTTTTAACAACATGAAACTACAATTAGAGTGTTAGCAAATAAGAATCCTTGTTACAATTCAGAATTTGAATTCCTTCAAATTGTATTAAGAAGAAATTAAGGAATTTCTTCAGAAATCTAATTTCTTCCTTCTTAAATACAGCAAAGTTTCAGACTTTGTTTTTTTCTCATTCTCTGATGCTTTTATGTTTCCCTTTTACAAGATGCAGTTAAAATTTTTATTTTGAAATGAAGGCATTAAAATGCTGAGCTGGGTGCTGTTGAGGTGGCTCAGATTCATAACTATTAATATTTCTTCTGCCATAAACTGTGCTAATATGGAGAATGACAGAGCTGTGGGTGTTCTGTTCCATTTCAGTTCCTGTAAAATGCCTGCAAGTTATTAAAAAGTTAAATGTTAGGACAAGGACTTCAATGCTTTGGGATTTAGGATTTTTCTGTTTGCTTTAAGGTGATGGGAATAAAGTAAAAATGAAGTCGTTGCAGTAGTTGATTTTGCTGTGTCTTTGGTATTTTAATAGCCACAGCCTGGATTTAGAGACTACTGTGTTTATTGTAGGAGAATATTTTGCAAACTTACTGTACTGCTAGTGTAGAGTTAAGAAAATGCCTACTCTTTTGGATCTTGTGGTTTTTGTTACAGTTCTTAATTCAGGCTCTGACATGGGTCAAGCCTGGGCTATTTCAGTAGAGGAAAGAGTAAACATTGACTGTGTAGCTTCTTGTGACAGTTGCCCTAAGAACTGCTTAATAAGCACAAAACTTAGTCTTACCACATTTTTTATACTTGACTCATGTAGGGCATTGACTTTGATTTGTGAATAACTGCTTTCGCGATCCAGAATACAAAGTTTAGTGCATATTCTCTGTAAGCTTATGAACTTGTCTTTACTAGAAATGTAGTACAGTTTTCATCAAAAATTGTCATCTTTTAACCTAAAATGGAGTGTGATGGAAAGTTCTCTGAAACGATACTTGATTGTTGTTTTTTGAAAATAATCAGTGTCTCCTGGGAAATGCAACATGAAGCAGGACTTTCAAACACTGCCAGCATTTTCAGACTTTTCTGCAGGAGTCTCTAATTTATTGCCTCCTGTTTGTGAAATGCTATATTCATAGCTAATGTAATTACTTTCATATTGCTTTATTAGTTACTCGAAGTCAAATTAGAAATGATCAAGAATTCTCTGGCAAAGTAGCTTTTCCATTAGAGAATGTTAATTGCTTGAAACTAGTCCTTCTTTTCAGGAATGTGCATACAGGACTCTATGGAATTTTTTTTCCTCTGGTCCAGAATGCAATTCCTACTCAAAGACAAGCCTAGAATAGCGAGGAAAGAGTCCAGGGGTTAAGGAGTAATAGAGAATGGAAGGTATGAGGCTTAAGATCCTTTTCTGATAAGTTGTTGGTCTAGGCTAAAAGTTCTCCCTGTTTTGTAAACACCTCTGCAAAGCACTTGTTCCATATACTGCAGAAGTGTTCCACACTGACTCGGGTGCTGAATCTCTTGGCATGTAGGAGATGATCTTTAGGTTTTTGATCTTGATAGGAAAGAAAACTGATTTAAAGCTGGGACTGTACCTGCATAACATACTGCAACCAGAGTCTCTGCGATTCAGCAAATAGTCCTGAATACAGGTTGGTGTTAAAAAAAAAAAAAAAAAAAAAAAGAACGTATTCAAAGAACATATTGATGATTCTTGAGATCCTTTCCAACCCAAGCCATTCTGTGAGTCTATCTTCATGACAAAGCTAATGACTCTTAGCTCATCGTCGTGTTTTGTAGCTGAAACTGTGACTTTACCACAAAGACTTGATCCTTATCTACAGATCTCAAAATTTCAGTTAGAGTTGCTAGGTAACAAATGCTGCATTTAGAATGTCTGATAGTTGATTATCAACTGCTCACTAATGTTTCCTTCAAAGGCTTCTGAAGTTTTGAAACCTGCAACAGGTTCTGCTGAAGATAATTATCTTTTTCACTGACCCGAGTGTTCAGCCGGGGACCTCAAATATTTAATAGTGGTATAAGTATTCAGATTTGTGCGTTTGGGAAATTTACTGATTACACTGTTTGTCATTTATCTTACTCAG